GAACACTTCGTTCACTTCTTGTTCACAATAATTCAGTTGTAACTTTATCCGGACTTCAATCAAAACTGCCCTGAGAGAAAACTTTTCTTTTTCAACCATGCCTACACCTACGAGATAAAGGTGAAAGCATTGATCATGTGGTTAACGTATTATCGGAAATTTCCACAGCTATTCTGCTATTCAGCAGAATAATCAAAAATATAATGTAAAAATTAGAAACTCTAATTTCTAATGCTGAAAGTGTCCAATAAGCAAATATGCAGGTGTCGCACATATTTACAGTTCTGTTTGCGGAATTTAAAGCCTGAACTCAATAAATTTTAATAAAACGCTTCCACATTGTATGCAGAAAATTGCATTTTAAATTAAATTTAGGTCATGTTAACGAATTGTATTACGCTCAAAGAAAAATGTTTTTAACCAATCGCTTATACCATTTTAGGGTATCTAGTCAAAACTAGATACACAACAGCAGCTGAACATTCGACGTGGAATCGTATCCCGGAGCAAAAATTTTACATTTACCTTTAAATTGGGAACGGATTTGCCAACGCGTTGGTGTCGGATCATAGTATGCGAATCCCGCACCAAAGTGACAGTTTCGTTAAAAGATGTGAACTTAGTTCCCGGAACCGAAAGTAACTCCCAGTGACAAAAACAGCAACTCTCGCGAACGAAAACTGCATAATAAGTTCGATTGTTTATACGTTTGAACAGACATGTTTTTCCCATTGCGTGTAATTTTCAGAATTCATGATTTTTTTAACAGAGGCAAATTACATGTCTTTATATTTCTATGTTTTTGGTAATGGGCACCACAATACCTATGTTATTTGACATTTTGCAAATTATGTTAGGGTGTTCACCGCACACCTCCGCACCTTAGAGCAGTCGTCACTGGTGATAACATGATTTATCATTAATTAATTCACAAGTTCTTTAAAAAGCTTCCAATCTGTAAATTTATTAGTCAGAAAATACGGATTTTCTTTTTTTACTATAGATATCTGTGGATACTGTTTCACAACCAGATTGTTGAATAGCTTTCAGAAGTTTTGAACCCTTAGTCGTAATAAGTCTCGAACCCCATAAAGTATTTTTAGCATTAAAGTCGCTACCAAGATTAAATTTATCTTCAAGAGCCTTTAACACTTTAATGTATTTTATAGCCGCGAAGGGCTATCGTTAAAGGTTGGTGATCAGCTTCGATTTCAACTGAAACTATTTGGAATGCAGGAGCTTTTAACTGAATTTATTATTATTTAGCATAAGGTTGTTCCTAGTCATTCATAGTGTGAATGACTTGATGTCATCATACCAGTTGTGCCTCGATCGAACATTGTTGCATAAGGTTGGGTGGATTCATTATAAATCCACCAGCAAAATAAAGTGGGTATTTCGTTTGTATGAGCGTGGCACTTCTTTTTACTATAGATTCTTTGCCCTGAGTATACCCCGCCCTTGGACAGGGCCAGAAAGGTCATTACAATTTTATTTAATATATATTGGTAATAAAAAGAAATATATTACAATTTACTGATTTGTATAACAAAGTTTTATTTTTAATGAAATTTTCTTAATTATTATTACTATGTAACAAACAAATTTCATAAGATATTTACAAAAGAATTATAATACATAACCATGTACTAAGAAAATATATGCTGAACAAAAAAGTATAATTAAAATTAAAAAAAATAGCTTCCTATGCATCATCATGTTTGTTTTCCTTTTTTTGTTTTTTTCTTATATTTATTCTGCCAATGTTTTTACTACTTTAATTATAGAACACTTACCAGCATCTTAGAAGTAACGTCACTCCATGCTGTTGTGTATTTTTATGGAAAAACGCGAGTGTGCCAAATGTTGAATCCTTTATTTCAAGTTTTGGACGAAATGTTTCAGTTGCATTTGTTTATAGCTAATTTTTGAAATGTCCTTAGCTATTATGAAAACACTTGAGTTTAATTTCACAATTTAATTTTATTAATTTTATTTATGTTATAATTTATATTCTTTGGGTTTCTTTTAAATTCAGTCACACACGACTTATTTGTTTTAAAATTTGTTGTCAGCGCTACTACGCTTGATCATTTTTTTTTATTTGTCTAAGTGTACAGTATATAATTTTTAAACACTACTTCGTTTAACCACTTTTTTTTTTATTTTCTAGCTTCACAACTTTAAACTCCCAACTTTGACTCCTCTTTGACTCTTAATTTTTACTCCAACTTAGACTCTAACTTAGACTCTAACTTCAACTTCAGCTACAACTCTCACTATAACTACAACTTCAACTATATCTCTTTGTGGTTTTAAATCTATCTTATATACCCAAACTTGATGCAAAAATCCAATATATGACCTTCAAATTACCCTAGTTACCTAATTGGGTTTTTTCATAGTTTCATAATTTACTTTGCTAAATTTGCAAAGTTTTTATTATTAATAAGAATGCTCTACATATTTTTGCAATTCTTCCGTATTTACAATTTCAAAGTCACTTACATCGTGACACCAATTATTAACCAAATACCAAAACTCAGCATTTCTTATCGTCGAACTGACGGTCTGCTGCTTTGGTTCTAGCACAGACAAATAATTATTTGTCTGTGGTTCTAGTCAACAACTGCCCAGATGCAAATAACCCTGCCTATTTTTAGGGAAATGTACGATCACCTAAGATCGTACACACTACCATACAGAAAAACTGCCAAAAACCCGTGAAATTAAATAAAGTAAATATTTAACTCACAACATTCCTTCCCCCTATGAAGAACATTGTGGCACACAATGTTATATATCTAACGGTCTATATTAAACTTGCATCAAATTTAGGTTTACATTTTAAATTATTCATTTAAATTTTAAAA